ACAGAGAGAAACATCGATGTGAGACATCGATTGGCTGCCTTCTGCAGGAGCCCTTGACCAGGGCCAGGGTTGGGGGAGAAGCCTGGACCGGAATCAAACCCGGGAACTTTTGGTCCTCAGGCCAACACTCTATCCACTGCGCCAAACTGGCTAGGGCAATGATTGCTCTTCTTTAATGAAATTACATTTTCTTCTAAGATTTCATTTTCTATAATGAAGTGGAATACACGCTTCCTTTCCTTTTTAATCTCACTTTTTTTTAAACCAAAGAGTATCCCCATAATCAAGTCATAATTCTCATAACATTGAAAGATATTCATTTTCTTTACAGCATGAAAGACAAATATCATTTTATCCTTTTTAAACAATGAAAAGAAGTTTCAATCTTTTGCCCATAGAAAAATATTTTCTGTATCATTCACACCACAATAGAAAAATTCGACAGTATTTAACTAAAACTTCTATGAGCACAAGGTTTTAAAACGTTTTCATTCCTGTATTTGAAATTTTGAAATGTTTCAGGAAGTTAAACATTAGGATTTCTTCCTAGAATTGTAGCTTTTAACTTGAACTATTACTAATACCTTTCACTTTGTAAATTAAAAAAGATCAGTTTACTTATTTATGCAATGAACCATGTCTAGCCAGTGTTGATGAATTGCACCCCAGCAGATACTACTTCTGGCTGCCCATTTACCTTGCATTACTAAAATGAAAACAATGAATATTAAACTTTAGAAATCAACAGGAAACTGCCGTAGAGAACATACAAATAAACAGCAGCAAATTTACATAGGAAACAGGAATAAAATTGGTATTTTCACCAAGATTTTGGAAATAAAATGTCTAATTTCTGACTGAAATAGGGCTTGTTTTTGATAACATTGAAAGGCTTATTGTAATTGCTACTAAGAATGAAATCTGTATACAATAAAAAATTGTGTAGACATTGTAAAGAAAGTTGAATCCCCCAAATTCAATTTAGAGATTCATTTCATGGGCTCTTTATAAAATTGCTGAAATTATCTATTAGCAATTAGTCCTAAAATGTTTTATTATGTAAATGAGTTTCTACATAACTCTCAAAGAATTTCACAAAACGGTTGCTACAACTTGTGTTGTGATCACACTGAGGCACCAATAAATTTTTGCCAATGGATCAATAATTCTGATATTTGATTCAATTAATCCAGTGGGTTTCAATTAACATAGCTCTTTTACTTGGAGGAAACAACACACACACACACACAAAATGCTGCAAGAGCAGTGGTGGGATAGTTGAAGCAAACGTGGCAAGTAAGCAGTCCTAATAGAGTCACTTTGTTGATGTGGCAATTACATAAAAGCAAACTGTGGCATAATTTATCTTGGTCTTGTCATGTTATTAAGAGATGTTTATTCCAACAAATATTTACCATAATGTGTAACTCTAAGGGACTTAAATGGAAATTCACCTAAACTACAAAATAATTACAACAAAATAAAAGAGATGTAAACATACCCCACATTACTGTGGTATAAATAATTTTTATGAATTCAAACCTACTTTGGCAACCTTACCGTCAGAATATTTTAAACATTCAAAACACAGATATTAAATAGAACACTGTTAAAAATTCTTGTTTCCTTCTTCTCCCTTCCTGATAAGATTGTAAAACAAGTAATGCTACTACATGTTCACATTATGCACATAAATTATTTGATTGCAAGTGGACATATATTCTAAATCTTAGTTTTATGTTTTAAGTGCTTTTAAAAATCAGCCTTCTAATTTGCATTTTAGAATGTTTTTGCACCGCACATATACAGCTTAAACACCTTACAAAAGCTTATGATCTGTCACGGAAGCATGGCTAGCAAACTGCATCAGGCCCCACTGAGGATCACTTTGAAAAGTCTAGTTATTTTCTAAACTAAGCGAATCATAGTGAAATCACTGCCTGAATATAATTCTTGCGCTGAAACCCTAAAATTCATAAGAATTTATGATAATCACACATGTTGCCTAAAATAACAGTGAAATTAGATAAAAGTCTTTCAGGTTCCTTTTCGCTCTAATGTTGTACATGGTACTGCCTGTGGAAACAGGAGGCTTTTGCTCAAATACCTGATTAGATCTGATCAGATCTGCCAACAAATTATAAACAACTACATAGTTAAAATAATCCTTTACCTCTCTTAGCATTAGCTTTTGTGAAACACACTAAAGTATCTTATGTGTAATATTAGTACTTGAAACCTTCAAGCAATTGTCTTAATGACTTAACATACCTTTATACATTTGAAGCCAGTTTTTATATATCAGTATACATTTTCTCTTTATTCTTCAAAATGACCAACCCTTTCCCCATCTCCTACTTTTACTAGGAGGTCACACAAAGGAAATAAAAATAGATGCTGTTACTCTGCGTCTATTTTGAATGAGTGCACTGGTTTAACAAATACTACCAGTTCTTTTTGTGAATGTAAAGTCTATTCCAAAATATTCCTGGGTACAGAGTGCTGACACAAATCAGATGCTCAAACATACATTTGAAATGAACATCGTGAAACCATCATATAAATCAGAGAGGTTCACCAATAACTACTTCCATTTGTGAGAGTAACAGTCAATGTTGATTAATTGGGGGGGCGGGGGAGGAGTGGAAGGAGAGAGTAGTTTAGATATAAGTAATGTGGCATTTTTATCACTTGATGTTACATGATATGAGTGAAATCTAGGCCTACTTGGTGTACCAAAGCTAGGATGATTCTAGAACCCTACATAGATCAATAAACAGGTTAAAAAATTCTTAGGTGCAATGGATAATGTCTTACCTGTTGAGTGAACAGAGAAGCATAATTAGCATATTTTTAAATTTAAGACCCCCAATAAATATGCCTTTAAAGAAGAATCTTTTTGTACATAACAATACTGACGGAGAACACCGCTCAGATGAACAATTGATATGTGTGGGATTTACAGACTGGCCTTAGCGGTTAAGAAAGGCAGCAGTGCTAACTGCCATCAAGTATTAGCTAATCTCAGAAGTGTAAACATTAAGCTCTAAAGAACATGCTAACCATGTCACTTATCTGTTTATCTCTATACAACTGTATCTTTTGTTTTTAAATCTGTGGTTGTCATATTCTATCCATAGAACAGACCAATTTTCTTTTTAATTCATGTGAAAAACTTCCCAGTTTTAAATTATGTAGACCTGAACATGATTTCACTTTTCAACTGATCATCATGTCATAGAGCAGCCGATATTACATTTATCTGTTGGCAGAGAATGGAATGTTCAAATAAAACTACAGCTTATTTACTCTTATACTGTCTTGATTATGAAATTCAGAAATAGATAAGAGAATTTCTCTTAGACATACTGGTTATGTTTACTATTCTTTTTTAAAAACAAAATATTATAATAATAATTTATTTGGTATCTTGGCTATTAATGACTAGGACTTAACTTCCTAAAATTGATTACTATAGATTTTGACTATCTGAAAGAACATCATTTAGATTATACTGAAGATTTTAAAATGTACATTTCCCTCCTCATACTAAATGGCATTCCAAAATATCCACCATTCAACCCTAGATTTTATCAATACTATTCTGAAATATTCAGAAAACACCAGTAAAAGTAAATTTCAACAATAATCCATATAAAATAATTGTGTAATTATAACATTTCAATAGGTGAGCAAATTTCCACTTACAACAGTCTCCATGAAGTAACATGCTTATAACCTCTAAGTACATGTAAATTGGAGTAACTTAACGGTATACAAAAATGACCAGAAAACCCCTCATTTCAGTTATTGAGGGATTTCATTTCATTTCAGTTACTGAGGGATTATACTTTGAAACAAGTCAACAATGTTTCATTCCTTGTTTGAAGTATCCTGACTAATAGACTAGTGTGAACAAAATGTGGTATGAACTGAAATGAATGCTGAAGAGTAATAATTCCATTAGTAATAGAAATAAGCCACAACTAACTGGTCTAACTCTAGCTTAGAGTATCAGTATGTTTAACTTTAATGTGCATATTAGATGACATTTGTAAAGCAAGGGATAAAATAAATAGAAATTTGAAGAATAAAGCATCTTTTAACTTGAGCTGCTAAACTGTAACCCTGTCTTTCAGGAAAGGAATGTGCAGATTTAAACAATTCCATAGCAGCAGAGCTCTCACTCAGAAGAACACTAATTACCTTTGCTTCCTGTGACAAAATACAGGGTCTGAGTAAGAAACAGAATTTCCTTACCCTTCTTTGACTGCATAAGTCTCAATACAGGAAGTTATTTGCAAATGTGTACTGATTAAAAATGCATAAAAATGTAAGTGTACAGTATACATACATACCTCCTAGTGGGTCAAATGAGTGCCTTTTCATTAGACATACACAGATGTCTCAAGGCACTTACGGGGTTAAGACATAATACATGCATTCCTTTATATCAAGTACATGAAATCACATGATTTGGAATAAGCCAACCTTAAGGTAAATATGTTACATTATTAAATTCAAGAAAATCTGTAGATTCATATTTATACTTTCTGTAAGATGCTGGTAAATGGACAATGTGCAGCATTTCCTGGGAAAAGCAATTCCACCTTTCTTCTTATGAACAGCAGGTCTCTACAGGGGGAGTGTAGGGCAAGATGTGCTGCATCCATAGGCAGTGTATTGGCTAATATTGAAAATGATATTGCTAAAATTTAAAAAATAAAATCTGGTAATCAAGTAATATAGTAAGTACATGAATCACTGCAAACACCAGAGTTGACGCCTGATGTTTACTTCTTTTTGCTTTCAAAGTACAGGTGTAACAGAGATGATGAGAATTCTGAGCCTTGTTTGTGGCAATTCTTCTGGTAGGGGACTGCATGGCACCACTACAAAATTTCATAAGTTACCCTGAACATACTCAGTTATTCACTATTTGTTCGAAACAAAGCATGAAATAGTCTTTAAACACATGAATTATAGGTTTTGAGAATGACTTTTTTTAAAACATAAAGTGCAATAGTGCTGAAGTTTTCAGTTTTTATCAGTTCTTCATTTTTTGTTTAGATGCCATTTCCTGCAAGCAGTATTATGGCACAGTGAATATAATTGGAAAGCAGTTTTCTAACACATATCCCAGATTTTTTGCTTTCTTATTTATTTGATGATGTCGTTAAGGGTCTAACAAATCCTTCTTCATAAACTTTCAAAATAGCTTCACATACAAATCTGTATTGACTCTGAAAAATAAAATATGAAAAATAGAACTGATCAGAAAAACTGGAAAATAAAACAAAGAAATGACAATCAAGTCACTTGACTTGCTTATAAAAGAACTACAAAGTAAAACAGCACAGGGATACCATTCTTCATGAACAGACTAACAAAAAATAACAGTCAGACAACATATTTTGTTGGCAAACTCCCTCATGCATTGCTAATATTCCTAGCATTGCCACAATCTCTATGGATGGCAATTTGGCAGCATCTAACAAAATTACATTAATTTATCTATTGACCCAGCAATCCTACTTTTAGGAATTTATCGAAGATAAATTAGAAAAAGATATTTAAAACATATATTTATAAGTGAGGCTAATATATTATTTATAATAATTAAAAAGTAAAAGCGATCCACTCGCCATCAGGAAAGGCCTGGTGAGTAATCTGTGGCACATCCTCACAGTGGATACGATGTAGTGGGGGAGGAAGAAAAGCCTAAAGATTACTATAGAATGATTCCAGGATATGTTAAGTAAAAACAGCAAGGTAGAGAAAATGGCATATAATATGTTATTTTTATAAAAGAAAGGAGGATATAAAGATCTCTCAATATATGGGGTGGGGCAAAAGTAGGTTTACAGTTGTGAGTACACAAAACACAGGGTTTATTCTTGTATTATAAAAGCAAGGGAAGGATATATCATTAAAAAATGATTTCCTGTAAAAGGAAGAAAAAAATAAGGTGCAGGAGAAGGCTAGAGACTAGACTTCATTGAATACACTTCCTTCTTTTACAGATTTTACTTTGGAACCATATAAATATACTCCATAATTAAGCCAATTTAAAAAAATCTACAAATTGAAAATAACATGAACAAATCAATGTGTATATCTAGTTGATGGCAGAACTAAACAGAAAGAAACTATATCAAGGGACTTTGAAACAGTAATTTGTCTGTATATCTTTTGTAGAATATATCCGAAAAGCACTGTAGAAAAAATTTAAGTTATGTTCAGTAACCATACTGTCAGTGGTAGTTGTGTTAGTTTAGTTGTTCTTAGACTGTTCTTGTATAATCAACTTAAAACAAATGGGTTTTGTAGAGAACCAACATTTCTGTTAAAGAAGAAAGGTGGTAAAGATGTAAGGTAGAAGACATTAAGCAAAAATACCGTGCTCCTGAATTTGTATTGGAAACACCAGTATTAATTCATAAGTTTGTTTTCCTACTTCTGGCTATTGAAGATTTCTACAGACAAATATCAACACTAACCCCAAAGCAACAGGAAACCTTAGTGCTCACAGGTGCTCCCTAATATAATTTCTCAATAAAAAGAACCAGTACTTTTTGGAGAAATTACAGATTCTAAGTTTGGGGCAGAAAGTGTACAAAGCTGGAGCCTAGTTATCTTTATTGATGACTAGAGGCCTGGTACACGGATTCGTGCACAGGTGGGATCTCTCAGCCTGGCCTGTAGGGATCAGGCTGAAACCGACTCTCCGACATCCCCCACGGGGTCCTGGACTGTGAGGGTGGTTCTCGGGTGACACAGTCTGCAATTGGGCTCCCTCCTCTCTCGTTCCAGGTGTGTCACCTGAGAACTGCAGTTCCTGCGTTGAGCATCTGTCCCCTGGTGGTTAGTATGTGTTATAACTACTGGTTGGAGCATCTGTCCCCTGGTGGTCATTGCACGTCATAAATACCGGTCCGATGGTCGTTTAGGCTTTTATATCCTATACTAAAGGCCCAGTGCACAAAAATTTGTGCACTCGGGGGCGAGGAG